GATAATAAAATAGAATTGAAATAAAGAAGATATCCGAGAATAAAATAGAAATAAGAGAGAAAATATAAGGCGCTAGGTACTTCTCGAGAAGGTGCCAAGGTAAATGCATCTGCCTTGTCTTCTGCGGTTTACTACGTCCGTAGGTAAGAGAGAACCAACCAAGGTTCTTCCTCCGGTAACGCAGGTGCACCTACGGTGCTTCTTCCACCGGTCTTGATGTCAGCGACCTTTACAGTCATTTTCCAACGATTTTGTAGCAACAATGTACTCAAACCCTAAGCCCACAACTACTCCAAGTTTCTTCCAAGTTCCTTATAGACAAGGAACAAGATCGAGAAATAAAATCCTATGTTAAACGTATAACTTGATCAATCTTTCATCGAAGATGGTGGATCAGTTGAAATATTTTCTTCTAGTTGTTCCCCGGGCTCGTTTCACGCGACGTTTACGATAAAAGGCGAGAAGACGTTTCAACGATCTCAAATGTTTACGACATGGAATCGTCTGGCGTCCGAGTCAACAAACCGAGTCCCGAGTGTGGCCACAGTCGCAGCTGCTCCTCACAATCTACAATCGTATGGAGTAAATATTATAATAACGAGAGCCCTTTGTGTTTTATTCTTAGACTAGACTTTCGATTACATGAGAGAATAAAAATGTTTTCTTTGATATAAGGCGAGGAACCGTTTCTCATTGAAGATCCAAGAATTTTGCTATTTCGTTTTTATTATTTTGCGGCAAAAGTTTGATATTACTTAAAAATAATAAAGGAACACGTAAATGAAAAGTAAAACGAAGGAAGAGATAAAGCAAATGTTAAAATCAAGCTATTCCTCGACTCGTTTTATAACGGTAAATCGGTTGGTTAATAATACCCGACAATTTAAGCATTTATTCGTAAGACAATGTCACCAAGAAAAGATATGTACTGTTCCTCGAGACGGTTCCGTGAGCTCGTGTCCGGTGTCGTCCGGTCTCGAGTCGGTGGCCATTCTCTTCTTTCAATTTCTTTCCTCTATTTCTTTCCTCTCGTTCGTCCCTCTCGTTCGTCCCTCTTTTTCTATTCGTTGTCGCTTATTCTTAGAGTTTCTTCCACGCTTAGAAAGCCATCTTCTTAACTAATTGTAAGTTCTAACCAGAACGATTCACGCTCGTCGGACGATCCTCCAATTTTGTTCATTTTTCTTTTATCGCATTCCGCAAAAAAATCAATAAACACAGATGCACATTCGCGTATTTTTTTTATTTTATTTTTATTCATACGTCGGTTTTTATATACTTTTACTTCTATATGGTTACTTTTTTTTATTAACTCTTTTAATTAATCTTTTGTGAAACGAGCTCTCTTACAAGCTTTTATTCATCTCGTTCGCGTATCACGTTCGCTTATACTCTTAAAGATTGCAGATTAAAAATCTCGGACAATTTGATTAATGATCGAGGTAACTGTTTGAAAATAATTTATTACTCGACGTGTTATTTTTTATTAATTCTTTTTTTTCTTTAATTTTTTCTGCATTCGTGATCTTTCCTTTTTCGAGGCGTCCTTGTAATCTTATACGAAACCATATACTAAGTTGATCTCCCTTAAGAAACATTTCTCTCTTTTTCTCTTTCCTTGAAGAATTTTAATCAGCCAAGAAATGTATTAGCGCTATCATTCGTAAAACCCGCTTAGAATTAGTCACGATAGCATTAGATTGACCCGGTTTCTTAACGAGCCGCCAAACGAGTCTCAGAATCTACCTACAGAGGACGTTTACACCTTACGGAAGGTTGTTCAAAGAGAGTGCATGCGTTTATATATACTTGTACGAAGTTTCCATAGGTGAGACATAGCGATAGATAAAATGAACGTCTTTTCTTTCCTTTCGCTAAATAACTTCTATCATACTCTGCAAACCATAATTATCTACATATGCAATAAGTCAAGTTTCATACGTTAACAGATTATAGTACCACGTAAATTTGGTCACATATTTGTCTATAAATACATTTACATTTGTTTTTTATTTATTTTTGTACCTTTGAATTTATATTGAAAAATATTTCATAAATAAAAATTTGCGAATATAGTATATAAGAGTTTCTAAGTTATACTAGGAATTGATTATTTATGCGAGAGTCATTAGGTTTGTCTTTTCGAATTGGAAGGAGATTTTTAAGCTTGCAGTTTTGGAATCTGTCAAGAAATTTAGCCTAAGAGGTTTGGAAGAAAGGAAATTAATGTTTCAAATGACTTCGAAGCTATTGTAGAAAAATACTTGTCGCTCACTGATACGCGTTCCACTTAAGGAAATGAACAAGTATATAGACAAGATAATAATCTAGATATTTCAATAAAGTAAGAACAAGGTCAAGATAAACATATGTAGAATAAATGAAAGAGGAAATGACAATCAGAATAAAGACAAAGCTAATTGAAGTGACATTAATTTTCGAATAAGAAAGTAAATAGACTTTAAATGATATTCAATGCATAAAATCGTGACTCACGAATGCTCGTTGGTGATCGCTAGTATTGGTAGAAGTATTTCTTCATTTATTCTAGTAGTAGTCTCCTCTCTCTTTTTCACGAGAAACTCTCTTCAGTGATTACCGATTGAAACTTTGAAGAAAATTAGTGAGAGAAAGAAAGAATAAAAAGGAGATAGAGAAAACATTAGCTGCGACGTTGTCACGAGGCCAATAACGTATTCGAAGGAAGAATTCACGGGCCAATTATCTTAGCGCAGGTGCAGCACGGCCAACGATACGAAAAGTGAAAACACATGGTACGACGGGTTATAAGCCTTCGCTTATTCCCCCTGACTACTCCCTTCGTTCTTCCCTTCGTTCTTCCCTTCGTTCTTCCTTCCCTTCCGTTCTTTTTGTTTTTTCTTTGAAGCTACCTCAAACTTAACGAGGATCGTGCGATAAGGTAGCGTGGCCGGTGCCACGTAACTTTTCTTTTTCGAGTGGCTTCGAAGGGAACGCCTCTTCTCATTGGATGTCTTGCATAAATCTAACGATCGCGATCGCAATCCACGTACGGAGTACTTTCTACCCTTCTATGGAGAATCCTCGCAAAGGACCTTGAAACGGCAACGCGTGCAAAACGAGAATACTCGGTACTTAATGTATAGTTAATATAATCAACAATTGACAAAAAGATCCTATCGAAACCATAAGCATATATTCTAATATCGATTTCGACACAAGTTTGTCCCAGTTAGGCGAGTTGTTTGCCCGATTCTCACACGGTTCGATCTTCCGCCGTACGTAGGTTCTATCAAGAAAACAAGGAACACGATTCTATTGGCACAGAATAGTCTAACACGCCCGTGGTGGCGCACGTTTTAACCTTTTTTCTGACATTTCGAACCTGTTGGGTTGGTGTGATCCTAAAGGTTATAAGCGCCGGAGAAGGAAAACAAGAGTAAAATAATCGTTTGGTAAAGATCTTCCTGTCGAAGGCCGAAATAAGTAAAAGGGATCGTTCGTCGAACCGTATCGCGGAGGTCAGAGTGCGTGTCGGAGGAAAGACGACCACGTCTTGGCTTTTACTGAAGTCAAGTAGTCACCCAATCAGAGCGAGAACAAGACAAAAGAAAGGTGAAAAGATTTATCGCGTCGTGAGATCGAGTCTACATCCTGTCTACTCTATGTACCACAAATTTACCGACGTCGTGATTAGTATTGCTCGATCGTTAAACTTATTTCTTTCCAAGTAAAAGAAAGAGGAAGATAGAAGGAAGGATATTTCGATCATTCGATCAGACCCCGTGGCACGAGAAAAATCATGCGTCGATGATCAAATAGGCTCTCCTTTCTATTACACCGATAGAAAAACTACAGTAGAATCCCGTATAACACTGTTTTTACGCGGAACTTTGTATGCATTCGCGTTCTACGGGAGTCTGTTGTATGCCACTTTTATTTTTCTCTGCTCTAACAATGAATTGAAATCTAAACTTTCGTGATAAATTATGCACGCGATAACTCCTGACCTTTTAAAAAGATATCACGCAGATTAATCGAGATTTTTAGTCAAATTACTGTTCGGTATACTTGGTAGAAATATTCGTAAGGTGTTTCTGTCAATAAATCGTTAGAGTATTTGCGAATAAATGTAATCGAATATTGAAAATTCTTTGAAATCAGGTTTAACGTGTGTTAGCAAAGAACAGAGTGAAACACAAAGCTATTTAAATCCATCCGTGTCCGGTGTGTAATTCAGAGAAAGTCACACGCTCGTAAATCAGACTGGTAATGGGTGCCGTTAGATTTGCAATGATAATCTTATGGTAATGCATGCGATTCGGTCGACCGAAAGAAAAGAAGAAAATAATTAACGATCCCGCGTAATCCGAGTTTTGCGGACGGATGAGGAAAGATCCTCAGAAATCTTTCAAAACCCAAATAAGAAAATTGCACGATAAACGGATTGAAACGAATCTGTAACTTGGAACTTTGAAAAAAATCGTCGGAAGAAATCTGGAATAAGAAGAAGTAATTTCAATGATATTTTATATAGCTTATATTATATAATCGTAGAAAAAAAATGTTCATTACAAACTCGCTCTCGCGGAATCATTAAATAAAGTACGATCGATGTTGTAGATATCGTCGCAATTTGCATATACGTAATTGAAAGTAAATGCATCGTTGCAGTTCATTCCGTACGATCGAAAGCATTTCTAATTAATCTGTAATTCATCGTTGATTGATGTGCTTAAACCTATTACTCGCTTCTGAAGGATCTCATGATCAGACGTTGCTCGAAGGATTTGCAAACTTTCGCAGATCGTTAATAAATCGCAAAGAGGATCTTTCATTTAATTGATCGATCACTAGACAAGACATTCCAGATTTAGACACTTGTTCGCAATTCAATTACTGCACTTGAGAGCGCATACTATTAACATTTATGATTTTTAACTGGTGTTTAATTTTCGCGTGGGTTTCCTTTTATAAATTTAATAGACTATGAATAATGAAATTCATTGTTCGCTACTTACCCTTGAATGGCATGAGGTGGAGGAGCAGGTCTTGGAGGTGGAGGTAAAGACTTCCTTCCAGGAGTATTTTGTCTCGGTGCCAAAGGTGGGGGTGGAGAACTAGGCGACGAAGCACTGTACCGATCCGTGGGACACTGAGGCTGTGGTTTTTGTTTCGGTGCATCGATATATTTCGGTGGTAGAGCGTAATAATTCCTTTGCGGCGTGTCACTGTGACGAGAATAATGATTAGACATGTACTTCGGTGGTTCGTGATATTTTTGAGGAGTTCCTTCGGGTGAATATAATTTTGAAGCCAACTCGTATCCCATATTTACAGGACTACCGAGAGAAAAGCTATGATTTTTCGAATTCTCCGGTACAGGTAAATAATTCGGTCTTGATTGTTGATGATTCGATTGATTTGCGGTGCAATTTTTATCGGTACTTTTGGGTACTTGAGGCTGCGGCCTTTGCCCCGAGGAGGATTCCAATCTCTGACCAGAATCGTTACGCAATAATCCAGATGCATCGATCCTGGTACTTTCTACTCTCATTGATTCTTGTCGGATGATTCGTGGTTCAACAGGAACTTGAGGAGCTGGTCTTTGATTTCCAGAATCGCTGTATCGCTGAGATATGAGATCGGGTAATTGCGCAGGTGGTCTGGCTTGGAATGGTCTTTCTTCCGAGATTCTTCTCGTACTCGCTATTCTTCCATTAACCATAAGTTTCTGAGTCGACGGATATCTTAAACTGGAACGACCAGTATTAATCATTCTGTGAGTAACGAAACCCGGTGAAATACTATTTTCATGGACCACCATTTCGGAATCGACGTGTTTTAATGTTGTCGGAGTTCTTACGAATTGATGTTGATCTTGTTCTTGGGAAGATATTTTCGTAGTTGGAGAATTTGGAGAAGATTTGCCTGAAGTTTTATCGAGATCTCGTTTGCTGCTGTGTTTCGATCTTCTCATGGAATGTCTTTCGGATTTGTGTCGTTCGCAAGATCTTTCACGATGTATTTTTCCTTCCTCGAGTTGGTGATGAGTGGAACTAGATTTTCGTGGGGTATCGGGGTAACAATCTTCGCTGAGTTCAGGCGGCGGAGGTGGCAAAGGATCGTCACATTCGTGGACTTCGTTTTCTGTAACCGTTGGTGGCGAGGGTGGCGGTAAATCGGGACTAGGAACACGGTCGTTGTAAACGCTCCTAAGATGGGGCTTCTTGGGTGGTCTTTCTGGGACCCAATCGTCGATGGATATAGCAGGTCCAACGATAACTGGTCCCAATAAATCAGTAGAAAGGCTACCGCAACTGTTACTATGCTGATGCTTAGGACTCGGTAGATCAGAGTTTTGATTTTGCCCTCTAGCAGAATTTTCTCTCCACGTGCCACTCGCATAATCGGACGCAGAACTGGCTCGTCTCGACGAAGGKGGTCTTGGTCGTGGTGGAGGTTGCGGTGGAGGACTTTGCGGAGAGGATCCTGAGCCTTGGGCTAATTGGGGTTCCGATCTCCAAGAACCTTGGTGGTGTCTTTCGTAAAAAGATAACAGTGCTTTCTTTTGAATAGCTTTTAAAGTCGGGTCAGAAACTCTGTGTCGTTTCTCAGGATCTAAATACGTGTAACGCATTTGTTGTTGTTGTTGCTGCTGTTGTTGTTGTTGTTGTTGTTGTTGCTGCTGCTGCTTCTCCAATTCGCTAATTCGTTCAGCTACCGACAATGGGGATTGCTGCGGTGACGTGGGTGCCATTCTAAAAATAAAATTCAAAGGTTAATGCTCCCATATATCTTCCATCAATGATATTAAAAAGCACTTAATACCTAGAGGACTGTGGCGATTCCTGAGGCTGTGTAGTACTAATAGGATACAATTTCCGTTGATTACGTTCGCGATCCAAGTATAATACACTCTCCGAAAGATGTCGTTGCGGTGTCTGCACTCTGGCGCTGTAAGCGATTAACTGCTTGTTGCACTGCACGCCGTTCGTCTGACTTACATCAGACATTGAACCATGAATAGCATCCCAACCATCGGGACTTAGTGGACTCGTAGATACAACTTGTTGTCTGGTCGGACTTTGCGGCATTGGCTGAGAAACCGATCTATATTTATCATTGTCCAATGAAATAGAACCATCCCAAGTATGGTTATTTTGCGATCTATCAAGAGAAACCTCGTCGATACTGGACTCCTGCCAATTGGTTTCTCGAACAGTCGATGATTGACAAATATCTCCAACAGAAGTAGAAGCCACGCAGTGAGCAATAACTGCCGGTAAACTTGTTCGAGTTTGGGCTTGTTTATTCCGATCGTTCATCGAAGCCTGCCATTTGTCCGGCCACTTTTCGCTATGCCTTCCTTTAGTCGTTGGCAACAAACCGCTGGTACTGACGTCGCTCATAGAATCTTGCCACTTATCGTGACAAACGTTATTCGACTTTTGAGTCATAATCCCACCATTGACGCTACTGACGTCGGACATCGAGCCATGATGCCACCTATCCGATGTACTTTGTCTCGCTGGTAATCCACTAGAGACGCTTACGTCTGACATCGAGCCATGCCATTTTAATGTTTCACTGCTAGACGCGCTGCCGCTCGACGTTGTCACCACACTGTCTCGGCCCTCTCGAGACGTGTCTTCCCAAGAAGGTGTTGATCTTTGCGCAACAGCTTCGCTGTCTCTTCGTAGTCTGTTCAAAATGACAAATTCATTGAAACACATAAATAGATCATGGCGTTATAAATAATGACACATTGAAGTTACCTGTCGAGGAATGGTGTGTTGGTAGTGGAATCAACGCTGGAAACGTAACTGTGATAGCCCTCGGATTGTGCGTAGCTGGCTTGTTGAGAATGCTGAACCCTCGTGTATTCTTCCAAACCTGCTTGCGTCAATGCTGTTTCTCTGTACAAATCCACCTAATCGAAAAATTCGTTTACAGAGTTTGCGCCAAAATTCCTGTACTTTTCATAATATTAGCAATTAATGTGTAATTCAATTACCTGCGATACTTGAGGATCTTGGTAACTTCTAACATAGGCTTCAAGATCCGCATGGCTAAGAGTTTGAGCCGACTGTTGTTCTCTTTCCGGTGGTGACGGAACCACGTATTCAGCGTCTCCCAATACCTTGCCTTCGCGATCTACGCGAGGCCACAAACGTGGCTCATCCTCGACGCTTTTTCTGTTACGCGACTCGAAAGTCTCGGCTGGTATTTTCTCACAACGTTCCATCACCGTTTTCAACTGTAAAAGAGAACCTCGCGTTAGTAACTCGTAGTAAAGTAAACTTTCCTCGTGCGAGCAGTGCTGCCTTTCAAGCTTACACCATTTGATTTAATTTTATTTTTTAGCACGATGTCTCTTAGTCATCCTACTAGACCGGGAGAACGTTTAAATTGCATCGGTGTGGCAAATAGCTACACCAAGTACACATCTAATTGCAAATATACGCGAGCAAAGAGACCATTAAATCCCTAAGTGCGGATTCACTTTTAGCCAATGACGGTAGATATTTCCTAGCATTTGATTACGTCATCGAGAGAAAGGAGACTGTGCGTCTAGAAAGATTTTATCGAGCCCGTCGATGCGCAAGGAAAATTGACGAAAGTTTAGCGATATTGCGACTCAATATATTACGTATGAAAAATGTCATATATGTTTTAACATTAAAACAACGATCACATAGCGCGATTCGATATTATTTCTTGTCGCGGAGACTCGACAACGGTTTGAGGCCAACTGACGTGTTTCGTATGTCATTACACAGAGAAAAGAAGAGAAATAATTTCACTCTGATATCAAAACAGCGCTGATTATTTAAGCAAAATTTCATAATCAAAGTATCATCGGACAATATATAAATGCTTCTTGAATAAACGTGACGTTTATCGATAAGAATTTTTCAATATAATTCTCGACCACAATCTCGAGATTATTAAACGGTATACGTATTATTTGTCTGATGATTTATGCAAATAAACGACGACTTGTGTAATTGCATTGAAAGATAATAAAACACGTGTTAAATATCTGCATGCATGCTCTTTGAAGAATTCACCTGCTGAGTGAAGGCCGGATTAGGTCTCTTCGTATGTGGTCTGGTATACTGAGCTGGTTTCTCTTTCGGATAATTGGTATGATCGGTCCAGGATTTAGAACGATGCGATCCATTGTGACTCAAATTGTGGATTTCTTCGTCTGGATGTCGTTCGGGTGCGCTCGGCCAGGACGGATATTTTTCGTGTCCTGGTCCGTAGCAGACACCTTTGAGACTGGATGCGTCTCTGACTGGTGGTGTTGGTGGTGGCGAGGCTTCGTCCCGCTCGTTGAGTGCGAGAGTGAAACTCTCGAATCCAAGTGTCTCGCTGTACCTAACAGAATCCAAGAGTTGTTGTTGTATTACTTACAAATCGTTCGAATTAATTCTCCTATGAATAATAAAAATGCAGAAATTAATGAATGCTATCGAGTTTGCAGTAGAACGAGTTGTAATCATCAATGTCATTGATGAATCGTTTGTTAAAGGTATACACAGGCAAAAGGTATAATTGATAAATTTCGTATAATTTATTCCGGAATATCGATTAGGCCTTTGTGCGAAAAGCAATCAATTATAAAGAGAACATAAACACTACAATAAGACGACAATCTTAGCGCGCGCATCGTTCTGCGTGGGAACAAGAACGAATGAATACGACGGAGACTTGTTATTAGCGCTTAACGCGATGAATCACTTACGATACGTGGTAATCCCGACAGCGAAGTCAGCGAGCAAGCGAACGCGTTCTTATACGGTGTCATTGAACCACTTTATTACCAGGATATGTGCACGCCGCATAATTTATGGAATAGTCAATAAGTTCGATGTAACTGGAAGCGCAGCAACCAGGACGGACGGACGGACGACCATAGAACCGACCTACAATTATCTCGGACTTTTTTCCTCCTCCGGTTTCAATGTTATTAATACTGGAATAACGAGCCTAACTAGTGAAATTAACATAAGACAAATTGCGTCCTACTGCGATGATTCGTAGATTATATAAGTAAACGATGAAAACTACCAAGATGAAAGAGATATAAAAAAATCATGTTCTGTTCTACTCGATTTTGATCAATATTAGGTTTCACCAATGTTCAATCTTAAAGACTTTGATATGGTTAAAATTACCCGCTGTCGTTCTTGTAGCCCGGAGTATTCTTCTTGTTACTCTCGTTGTAACCGGCAATCGGGGTCTTTTTGCTTGCGACGTTGTTAGTGCCTTCGTGTTCGTTATCCGTTGACCTCCTGCCGTCGTTTCTGCGGCGATAGTATTGGTTAGACGGCACCGTCCTGGACGGACTCTTCTTATGGCCATAGCCTTCCTGAGTATACGACGTGGCACCCTTGAAATTGGTAGTCTCGGTGTCATGCCCGTGACTCGTATACTTGTAGGTCCCCGAGAGACAGGAAGGTGGACCTGGGGCCTCATCCTGTACACGATATCCTGGCGGCGACGGTTGCAATTCCGTCATCGTGTAACCGACGTCCCCGCCATCCGGGATACACCTACGACATAGATTACACAGCGAAAATAAGTCATTCAAAGTTTTACTAAGTATTGCACATACTTTAGATATTTTTCTAGCATTTTTATTGGCTTGACCAAAAAGTCCATACCGATTTGACTGGTAATAATTGAAGTAATATCCAGTAATCAAATCTTTTTGTATTTCTTTTTTAAATAAGGATAAATGACTAGCAATAAACCGTAGACAGTTAAAACTTGAGAAATAAATGGAAGAGCAACAAAATCCGACAAGATAAATGTAGAAACGTAAGGATCACAAGTGTTCTAAGGAAGATCGATAAATCCAGATACATCGTAATAAAGAGCATAGCAAACGCGATTAAATCGTAGCTTCTCGCACAGTGCAAATATTTTTCAAAACGTTCGATTACAAAGCGATGAATTTAACAGGCAACTCAGATATGAAATTCTTGGAAATCTCGGAACGGTTTGGGTGCGAACATGGTTCGCGTACAGGTAGTATGTACATACCATAAGAATCAATTTGTTCGCGGCTTGAATTACATTATCTACCGGTAAGCGTGAGCTTGTAGAACTGGATGGAAGGCATGTCGGTTGAGACGATAAAGTCCATGGAAACTTCATAGGACTGGTTACTTAACCTTTAAGAGAAAGAAAGAGAGAGTCAAAGTACAGCGCCATGGTTAAGAGGAGAAAGAGGAGGATGAGGAGAGAGAAGAAGCAATAATCGGCGTTAATGACGGCATTAGCATGATCGACGAAGTCGATACATTGTTCTCTTCGGGAGTTAGACTATGCTCAGGGGTGTTGAGAAGCAAGAACGTGCTTGATCTCGTATGCCACGCCTTCGTTACTACCGATTGAGCCAACTTCCACTACCTCGATCTTCCATTTCGGTGATGTTTTACATATTGTCTGTCATGGTGGCTATACGCAATCATTGCCCGTTCTTATTTTTTTCTTTTCAGAAGCCATTGTATTCATCGGTGATCGCAATCACTACATTCGTAGAGTTCACTACTGTAAGTTAAATGTCATCGAATAGAAAATTTGTATAAATGCAAATAATTAGATAATATGACTTGCCAAAGGGTGAATTACAATTGTAAATAGTTGAAATTGATTTGAGAAAGGATTAATTTGCCCCAACCTGCATATTAAATATTTTGTTTATGAAGTTTAACGTTTGCAGTCGATGACTCGTCGTCGTCGTCGTCGTCGTCGTCGTCGTCGTCGTCGTCGTCGTCAAAAAGGTAACAAACGATATTAAAACGTTACTCGTAAGACGATACGAAATCTTCTGGCCCATAATGTCATCGATCTTGATCCTCTCTCGGGAATAACGACGACGATTGTATTCGAAGATTCGGGATGTGGTTGGTTGGGGCTATCAGTGAAAAAAGAATCTGGGACGATCTTTTCGTTCGTATCACGATACGTACGATCCATTTCGATGATTTATCGGCAATTGTTCGTCCGAAATGCGTCCGTCACCGTGTTCCTTGTACACGACGTACGATCGTCCTAAATTTTTCCTCACTCACTCGGATGAAATCGAATTACGATCGTATTTATATCGAACCGATCTTTCGAAGCTCTTCTCCTCGTGATTTTTTATTATACCGAGTTGAGAAATATTCGTTGATTCATTCGCGTGTTAACACGCGTGTCAGTGACATGCAACTTTCCTACGTTTCACTCTTGCAGTCTTCAGAAATTTTTTATTATTATAAACATATCACAAGTTATTGTGTATTATGATTTAATGAAATTAGATTCTTATCAATAGTATGTTTATTTTATAGTTAGTGGTCATTTACATTTCGTAATTGTAGTTCTATTGTAAAATCAACTATAGGCTAGTGAAACGAGAGTTGCAATTTTTCAGATGTCAAACATATATTATTTATAATTAACATATGCCATCAACATAACTCATCGTGACTATCGCAACTATATTGAGAATAGCGATATTAATAGGAAATGAAAAAAGGGAGACTTTCGCAACGAGGTTAATAGCCAAGAGAGCAATGTAGCAATTTTAGAGAGCAACTTTAGCAAACATGGAACGATACGTACCTATCCACACGCTAGAAATACGTAAATACCTAGGACTTACTTCGTACTACAGGAGCCAAATTGGTATTAAAGTATTTGATATACGAGAAGACGTTCGTAAATAATCGTAGTAAAGTTCGTGCGTTTTAATTGGAACCAAGAGAATTACTGAAATGACCATACAGGGAATTTCCTACGCATTTCATTTAACGAGTAAACGAATAAAATAATGAAGTATTAGATTTTAATGTAACGATAAAATTGTTCGAAGAAAAAGGAAGAGGAAAGATAGTGGGAACGAGTGGAGGCGTTTCTCGTCAAGGTTTGAAAGACGTTAGGTTTTAACACGTTTTGTGCTACGCCGTTTTTGAGCAAGTGTCATTAGCAGAACACGTGTTCCGATAACGGTACTTGCTACAATCTTTGCTGACTAACTTTTTTTAACTTCCTAAATTAAATTTCATTTAAGATCAATTTTAAGTTACATTAAATATATTTAAATAACATTTTTCCATTTAATTTGTGATCATTTTAGTATCTCTCTATGCCATTACATTTCGCAAAGCTTTGCTAGTTCTGTAGTACTAGTTCTTCAATTATCTGGTAACACGTGGCACCGAACGTGTAAGATCTTAGCCTTAAGAAAGATACATTTCCCGATCCATATCGTTAATAAAAAATGTCAGTAAACGAACTCGATAATAAATTGAATGTAAAGTCGAGATCAGAGCGCATTAGGAATTCTCGATAGCGGTCTACGTTAAATTGGATTTGTCGTTGTAGGCGTGTCGGTGTTGCTAGTTTTGCATAATAAGAACTGGTCTACGTAAAATAAAGTTATGATCATCCAAGAGTCCTAAACAAGTACGTTGTGTGACAACATAAGAAAGATGTCAAAACACAGTTCTTCTCCCAATTTTCTTATTTTTCACTGATTTTTAATAAATATATGTAAACAATAATGTTAATTCCTTAAAAAGTACTTACATATTTTTGGATTTTGAAGGTACATATTTAAAAATTGGGATGAAGTTTGTGGGCAAGCCAATATCTACGTGCATCTACGGTACGAGAAGGTAAGATAAGAGTTGTCGTTTCTCGTCGTTTCTTGTCGTTCTCTGAATAAATTTAGCGGGACATTTATCTCTTAGAGTACTCTTGGACCAAGATAAAATACGATCTCGATTACGTTCGTGTCCTCCTCCGTGTACGGACTTAATAAAGTCAGGACCAAACGCAAGCCGCTCGCGTTTCAGTCCACGTACATAACTATAAGTATAGTTACGTATGTATATACATATGTATATACCTACATTGTATAATAATACACCAAGGTACACGTATGTACAAACAGGGTGTCCCGAAGTTTACCTCCCAAACTGCACGAACATACTCTTGTAAAATATGTTCCCGCAATTGCTTGGTAAATCCTGGGACACCTTGTATGTACGCGTAAACGTACGTTGAATCTTACGTTGCACATGAGTTTCTCCGAAAATCTGACGTCATCGTTAGAATGTAAGCACGAATGTATGTATATAAAGTGCAATGAGGAAAAGGACTCATTATATAAAACTTTAGCAGATTCGAAGAAATACAAGAAACTTTTGTATGACAAATTTTTCGAGCTTGGAATGCTGTATGTTTTCTCGACTATTTTAAGAGTAATATTAAGAGACGATTAATGGTTAGAATGCTTAAATGTTAGGTGCTACGAAAGTGGTGCAACTAGCATACCAGCAAGCTGTTATGCGAAAGAATTTCTTTTTACCGACCCCAGAAGGTTCTCACGTTTCTATGAAATCGCGCGTTTAGAAGTGACTCGTGCATTAAAGGCAGTTCATTCGTGCCCCTAAATCACACCCTTTAATTGCCACTTGTCGTGAGCTTTCTTCTCTCGCAACCCAGTTAACGTGAACGTTGAAAAGACCCTTTTACCATTGGGTACATTAAATCCTATAATCTTACGACTGGAATTGCCCACCAAAGATGTTTTCTCTTAATCAGAATACCAAGGTTACATAATTTTTTATGAAAATTTCTAAGAACGTTAACGAGTTTATTGCGTTTTCCTTTTTTTCAATTCAACTATAGCAGAGACACACTTTTCTTCGGTTTTAAGAGACAGGAGAATTAATCGAGCACACTGGTGGAGCTCGATTAATGCACACGAATGCATTTGCTAAAGGACAATACCTACGTTGCAAACATGTAAGTCGTGCACCGACGACGATCCACTTCGTTAATGTTCTCCATGCTTGGTGCCGCTTCCTAAAGAATTACATGAGCCAACTGCGAAAGCTGCTGGAGGGGAAGAAGTACGAGGGAGTATCCAAAGAAAAGAACCACGCCCTTATCCGTGATCCACAGAGGCAAATAAGAGAATAAAGAGAAGGAGAAAGAATTGTAGATATACAAGCCGCTTCATAAATAAATGTCAATGCTTCATGGAATAAATCTACACGTTGAATCCAACGCTTATTTTAAATTTACTGATAATGAGATTGTATTTTTCTAATAATCATGGTTTCGTACACTGTACCAGACTTTCCTGACTTCTATGATAAGGATTCAAATTTGCCTACTGAAGTATTGACATACATTTATGAATCACACTGTATATAAACAGGACTCTTTCTCTCTCTCTCTCTCTCTCTCTCTCTCTCTCTCTCTCTCTCTCTCTCTCTCTCTCTCGCTCTCCTTCTTTTTCTCTTACGTCACGTAATTAATGCGCGTCGAGTTCGTTGACTGTGGTAACTCAGTGTGTACGCGTAATTCCGGGGAACGATAGTGTGCTATACTATATGAAGCGAGAGGAAGAAAATCTTTGGCGACAGAGGACCAAGCCACGTAAATGTCTTTCCTGTTACTTGCGGAATCTTCATCCAAATATATGTAAATATATGTATACTTATGTACCGGGTGAGTCTCCGAATAATACTGCCAGCATTTGTGTCCTAACAACTATAGCAACTTTTTTATTACGGAAATATTTGATAAGTTAACGTGCAGGTATGAAATTTATTTTCATTCATGATAAAATGATAAAAATGAAGACAAGAAAGTACGGATTCATTCATGAATGGTAAGAGAAAAAATCCATTAGCTAGTTAATTAACAAGATTTTCGATCGGTTAAGGTGGACAAATTTTATATCATAAAAAAATGTATAATATTAATTTAAATGTGGAGATTATTAATCATTTTACTTAGAAATATGAAATTTGAATTCAGAATGAACTAGTATGAATGATGACAGGAAGCTTTGCACGAGTTAATGATTTGTAAAAAGATAAATCACGGAGTATAATGTCTTTTTAATAGACGTGAGAAACAAATGATTTATTTATTCCGGTATTATTAAAGAAATCAAATCTTTAAACGAGTTTAGTCATCTTCTTTGATTAATAAGGGGTTATGGTAAGAATTTAAGTTAAATGCAAATTCATATTGCTATTAAAATATTAACTGTGACAATACATCGAGTATCTTTAAAACGTGCAGCAAACGTTTTTAATTTGGCTTCGTCTGTATTACAAGTCTAATTTTTGTTAGGTTTAATATTTTTTGTGCATAGTACGTT